TTTTCTTCTAGTTTACAATTTCAGAAAAATAATCTATAAAAAGTTGAATTTCTTGTCGCAGGAATATGATAAGTTGGATAGATCTTTGAACTTTCGTCCCAATTTTTTGTCTTCGTATTGACATGGATTGATAGGTTGCCTCTTTTGTAGACTCTCAATGCGTGTTAACTAGAAGATGATGATCGAATTGTTTAAAATCAAGCTTCCCGCATGTTAGTTCAACTTCGCCAGTTAAAAACGTGAAACTTACAAGATGGTCGTGATGAAGGCTATTTGCTGTTCAAAGACGCGTCTGAAAAATGTTTTGAAATTCCATTGCATGCTTACAATTACAGCTAGCTACTACGATTCATTCAAATGACTAATTAAATTTGAAAAATTCATCTATTCTGTGACCTAAGGAAACGTTCCATATTTTATTTTTACACTTAAACTATATATAAAAACAATCGAAATAGACCATGTATGTACCTCAAGGCACGTCAGTCTAAAACATGACTGTTTCAATGGTCATAATCTGCTCCCCTAACTAAATATATATATAGAAACTCTCTTATGCGGACGTGCGAATAACATTCGGACATCCGGAACTTAATGATATTTGTGTGTATTTATTTAAACTGGTCGTCTCTTTGACTGCTTGAGTATGAAATTTCAATGCTTCTTGCAAGTTCTGGACGCCTACAAAACAGGAGCCATAGCCAGCAGGCTTAGGAAGGAAGAAAGAATAATTTAATTATGAGCCTTTATGGTGTCAACAAAACCCTACGATCGATGGCTGGCCCTGCCCCATTCGACAAGCGCATGCAAATGTTGGGTCTATGAAAATGACTTCCATTTAAATTATATACCTAGTGTTTCAACAGTTTGATTGAGTGATGCGAGAGGCCACTTTCCTTGAATTGGGAGGACCAAGTTCATCTCTACGTACGTTTGGTGTACAATACAAAATGTGTATGTTCCTTAAATTATGAAAGTTGTTGAAATTGACCAAATCGTTTACTCTCTCGCTTCTTTTACCTCCCAACCCCAAAATAATTCTTCTATCCCATCCCTAACTTCTTATAAATCTATGTGAGACTTGTCTTATGGAACGCAGCCATCAACAACTTTAACTCCCTTTTTTTTTTCTCTACGTATTTGGCATCTGATTCTTAAAACCTAAAATTTGAGCTCAAACAACAATTGTACCATAACATATAGTCAATCATGTCGCCAGGATTGAGGGAACTTTAGTACTATCTAAAAAAGAGTCAATAAAAACCGGTTGTCTACCAAAACACCGTGTTTTTAACCGTTGAAATAATAACATGTCAATCAATCAACCTCGTCTTTTAATCCGTCAACGTATTCATTCTCATAAAAATAAACATTATGTTCATTTCTTAGAAAATATAGTATCTCTTGCGTAAAGAATTTTTTGAAACCCAATACATAAATGGCCAGTTTTATTTTCATAATACTAATCCTATTAAATTTTTTCTTTGTGCTTTTAAATTTCCAAAAGTATTGACTCAAACACCCCCCCAAAAAAAAAAACTTTTACCGATTTGGTGTAAACGCACCAAAGAAATAAAGTGTCAACACTAGGAAAGACAAACACGCTTTTGACAAACCAATGTCATTGTTAAGAAAAAGAGACCTATCGAGAGGAAAAAAGATATGGAAGAAATTTGAGACAGGTAGATGAACAATGAGAGAAGTGAAGAAGAAGAAAAAAAAACACACCGCTTTAAATCTCTTGAAAATTTCATATGTGAGGCTTTGTCGTTTGGTCACAGGGTCATTCAAGTCAAATGGAAGGGCGGAGAGATGTAGGCAGTCAATATTTTCTGTGACAAAATTCCAAAGTTTGTCGTAGCATGAAATGAAAATATGAATACGTGAGGCTTCGTCTACTTCACGCCATATATTAGGCTACCATTCTAAGATTTATCAAAGATTATTCAGCTCCTGGAAAACGAAGGCTGGGCTGCTTCTTCAATTCTAAGCTGTGACAGCTACAGAATTGTTTTTGTGCCACATGATTTTTATCACCTAGAGCTACATGGCTGTCGTTTTCATCAACCTTCTCCTTGACAAAATTCTAATTGTAGTTATACTTTTCGTTGAAGAAAACTTCTCCAGTATGATCTTTGTTGTTCATGATTGGTACGGGAAATAAATTTTGATGTTGAAAATTTGTTCTTAGAAGTTGTGTACTTCACCAATTTTTGTTATTATTCTACCATATCCCAGTCGGTAAACACGCAAAAAACAAGAGAGAGTACAAAACAACCCCCTCCAGCGCTAAGATCGTAAATTGAAAAAATATACATTTATTATACATTAGAGTTGTTTAGAACATCGTTTTATCAATAATAAAAAAATTGCAAATATAATTTTCCCAATAAAATTTAATATGTATAACATCGTGTGTATATATATATATATCCATTCATTTTTGGTTTCTTACAGGTTTTAAGATCATCCACAAAAGATCCATTGCAATCTAACTTCGACATGAAGTTACTTAGGCTATTGATAAGGTTGTCTGCATTAATTCACAAAAACACTCAATATATTCATTTAGACAGATGAACCTGATAAAGATAAGTATCTAATCATTGATTCGTGACATGTCGGCAGCTTAACTTACGAAAGAAGACCTCTCTCACTAAACCCTAATACCCATGGTTTAATGGGTCAAAGGTGTTTGGTAATCTATTTTACATTAGGATATTGTTTGCCTCTTTATGGTAAGGAGGAGTATCTCCTTACTGGTAATGAGAAGAAGATACTCCTCCTTCATACGAATCACAGTTTGACACATATGCAAAAATAATTTATTAAAAATACATAAAGAAATTTTTTTGCACGCATATCACACTGTTATTGGCAGGAATGTAGGAACTCCTACTTATTAGTAATTAGGGAAATATTTTCCTTTACATTATGCTAGTGAGGTAATTAATTTTCTAAACTTTTCCAAAAGTCGGGCCCACAGAGCAAAGCATTTTCTCCTGTTATTTTCCTCTTTGATTAAATGGATCCTTTTATTTGTTAGGTAAAAGATAACCAAGTAGTTACAATAATATATATATATATATATTTGAAGTAATTGGGACATCAAACTATGCAGTAGCTAGATGTCGTTAGGCTGTTTGTTGTTAATTAGAAAGATAAGATATTAAAATATAGATGTGAAATCTCCCTCCCTCCAAATACTTATATCTTCCTTCAAAAATCCATCGAGGCACTAAAATATATTAAGTTTTAAAAGAAAGAGGAAAGAGGTGTCTTATGACTAACAATATATCATTATACATCTTAAAAAATCATTTTACACTCCTCAAATTTTGATTTTGCTTTTAAAAATCTTTTATATATGTTTTTTTGTGGTGTGTGAGCTTTTGTTTTCATTTAGTTTAATAGAACTATACTATATAAATCAAATTAGATTTTTTCTTTTGGCAAATAATTCAGATTGGATATTAAGGTTAACTTTTTGCTTTTATTCTTTAAAGTTTCAACTACTATTTGTTTGGACGATCACAAGCAGAAAAACTTTCTTATAATAGGAATAACATTATTTTGCTATTTTTGACCAATAATGCAATAATATGTGAAAAAGTTATCTATCGTGTTATTGCGCTATTGGTCGGGAATAGCAAAAAATACTATCCCTGTGCATGAAAGTCTCTCGATCACGGGGTCTATAAGTTGTTTGTGAAATTTTTTTTATTTTAAAAAAGGGTAACGAAGAAAGGAAGAAATTAATCAAAGTTTGAAGGAGTTAGGTGAGGAGAGAAAAAGGCTCTTGATCGACTTGTTGGCCAATATAATTCTATACTTAAACCTGTTATTCTTGTCCTGCTCAAGCAAAATGCTTCTTTCTTCTTCTTCTTCTAAAGTCCCTCTACACATTGTTTAAAGTTTAAAAAACGGTGAATGCCACGTGGACGGAGATGATTGATGCAAGTGAGAGATCGACGACCACCCTCTAATCTTAAGAAATGGAGTAGAAGCTTCCCCCTCAAGGAAGAAAGAAGCGATCAAAGAACTCCCACCTATATTCCCATTAGAGATATATATTAAAATGGATCCACCTCTCTCATCATTTTCTTCAAGAAAGAAAAAGCGTGTTGTTGGTCCCTTTGTCCTAAGCTAAATCCTAAATTAAATTTAGATTGCTCTTTCATAAAAGGTTATGGCTCGAGTTTTAGTATCAGTTATTACCCCAAATAAGCAATGTCAAACGAGTATTTAGAAATTTAATTATAATAAATATTGAATGAATATTCAACTCATTAGATCAACTAAATTCGTTAGCTATCCGTTATTAAAAAGATTATCCTTTTTAAAAAGAAAAAAACTCAAATAAAATGCATTTACATCATAATTTTATTATCAAAACATTATATACGAAACATTTGAATAAAATGTCTAAATTTTATGCATTTCGACGAGTCACTCATGCGTTCTATTCAGACACTTCACTTTTTAATGTGCATTTATATCATGTTATTAGTCAGTAATATTGTACCACCACGTCAACTAACTAATAGTGCTTCCCTAAATGAGCTTGCTTTCTTAATTTTGATTTTCTTAATCCATGGGCCATTGGGTTGGGTGGCTGTGTGAGTTGGTTTCCGGCGGCTTCTTTGAGTTCTTTCTTTTTTAAAATAAAAAATATATATTTTAAAGTTAAAAACAAAGTATTTCATCCAGCAGTAAAAGAAAATTATTATTTATTTTTAAAAATGACATATGATATATTTTCAATGAAAACATAGTAATACAGTACAAATCTATAATTTCGTCGGAGTCCTGCCTGACGAGATAAGTATTAGATTCAAACATAAATCTAGCAAAAAAAGAAAAAAATTAATTACCGTACCATTTTATATTATATTTATAAGGAAGAAAGTGTTGGTTTCTAAAAATTTCTAGAACCCGCGTTACTTTCTTTAATTTTGTTGTGGCCTCTTCCTCCTTTATAAGAGACACACACGTACACGAATGCGGTAGATAAGAGTTTGCATTTGCTTAGCTTTTGTTTGAGCCTTGAGAAAGAAACTGAAACAAGAGTTATGGTCTTGGTTTTGCTTCCACCCCAAAACCGCCATCGCCATGGAAGCTGGTAGAGGCAAAGCCCGAACCAACACCGTCCTGTCTCGCTTCTTCCTCTCTGGGTTTTACTGCTGGGGCTGGGAGTTCCTCACTGCCCTTCTCCTTTTTAGTTGTCCTAATCCCTCCTCCTCATCCTAAATTCCTAACCAAACTAACCCATTAGTTCAATCAATCCCCAAAACCAAAAGCGGTTGTGGGTTTTGCTAGCTCAATTACATTTGTAACCGAAGTTTTTTTGTTTCACTTTTTGCGTCTGTGTTATTATATCTTTTTTTTCTTTCTGCATCCATCGGTTGAAGATGGCGCAAAGGTCCGTTCCGGCGCCGTTTTTGACCAAGACGTATCAGTTGGTGGACGATCCGAGCTGGGACGATGTCATCTCGTGGAACGAAAGCGGGACAACGTTTGTTGTTTGGAAGACTGTGGATTTTGCCAGGGATATGTTGCCTAAATATTTCAAGCACAACAATTTCTCAAGCTTCGTCCGCCAGCTTAACACCTATGTGAGTAATTAATTTCCATTATTTACCTTTTATTTTTGCGAGTACAAAACCAAATTATGTCTTAGAGTATTAGGCGAGTAGTCTACACCAAACGAAATTTAGTGTTATTTATCATCTTAAATTACATTGGTTTGGTTTTTTATTTTATTTTTAAATTTACTGTTTTTACATTTGCGCCAATATATGTTCAATATTACATATTAGTTCCAAAGATGAGATCAAAACTAGAAATTGAAAATTTTCCATAGAGATTCTTATTATTTTTTTAAAAATAGTTGGTGAAGCTTTCTTGGCAATTTAAAAAGAAAAAGAAAAACGTTGAAAATAATTGCCAATGGTCAATACAATTGTTTATTTGCAACTGGGTATTGGTTGAGCCTTTCCATTTTTTGTTGGTGTTGAAATTGTGACCAGGAATAAAATACAAATAATTATCAATCCATTAACGGGGAAACTGCGACTAAGTATTTTTTTAGATAAGAAAAAAAAAATTATGGTTGATTTTTTTGTAAAAAACATTTATATTAATCAAAGATGACATCAATTATGCAAAATTATTTGATGTAAATTGTAAGATAGTAGGATCTAGAAGAAAGAAAAAAATAAATTATGTTGTCTATATTATTCTATAATTTCTCTAAATTATCGGTTGTGCAACTCAATAATATAAAAAATTGCAAACGTGGCCCATCTGCCTCCATTTTTCCAAATACGACGGCGGAAAATCGAAGTTTCCAAATTAATCAAATATTCCGTTAACGTGTTAAATTTTAATTATCAATTAACTAAGCGTGCGTTTTGCTTCAATTACAGGGCTTTCGAAAGACGGTGCCGGACCAATGGGAGTTCGCGAACGACAACTTCCGGCGAGGGCAGAAGGAGCTCCTCGCCGAAATCCGTCGCCGGAAATCAGTGACGGCAGGGCCGGGGAAGGCTACTGCCAGCGAGAAATCCGGAGGGCCGTCGACTCCATCGAACTCGGGGGAGGAGATGGCGTCGACTTCGACGTCGTCGCCGGACTCGAAGAACCCGGGGGCGGTGGAGACGGCGGCAATGGGTCAAGCGTCTGATTTGTCGGGCGAGAACGAGAAACTGAAGAAGGAGAACGAGAATTTGAGCTCAGAGCTGGCGCAGACGAAGAAGCAGTGCGACGAGCTCGTGGGTTTCCTGATGGATTACCTGAAAGTGGGGCCCGATCAGATCAATCGCATCATGCGGCAAGGAAGCTATGTGTCCACCCGTGATGAAGATGAAAATGAAGATGATGATGCTGATGATGATGATGACGACGACGGAAAACAAAAAGAGGGCTTGAAGCTGTTTGGGGTTTGGGTGAAAGGGGACGAGAAGAAGAAGAGTAAGAGGACGGAGCGAGATGAGAAATTTGGGGTTGGTGTTGGTGGGACCTACGCGAAGAAGATGAAGAGAGCGGAATTCGGCGCGCCGATGTTGAAGAGGGGGAAGGTGTGCAACTGAGCTAGCTGAGCAAGCCGAGCTAAGCGGAGCTAGCTGAAAAGGGGGGCTGGCCTGTGCGCCTGCCCGGACGATGTTGAAAGACTTTGTTACTGTAGAAGAAAGAAAAGTTTATAAAGTTTATATTTTACATGTTTATATATGGAAACACCAAACGGTTAAGGTAGTTCCGTAAAGAAGCAATAGACCGAAAAGTTATGGTTGTGTAATATTGTAGTTGAAATAAGGACGAATGGTTTTTGAATTGGAAGTTTGCTTTGCTGTACAAATGCTGCTACTCGGGCTTGTGGAGATCAAAGGGTCTCTGTCTCTCTGCCCTCCATCATTTGAAATTTCATAATCATTTTCCACTTTTCTTGTAAATGAATTCGGATTGATGATTCTAGATTTTTTTTCTACAAAATGTGAGTAACTAAAGAGGGCATTATTGCCAACGAGGGTTTGTTAAGTTGGTAAAGGTCGTTATCTTCTCTATCAAGGTCTAGGTTCGAATTACACTGCCGACAATTTCTCTCGATGAGTAATTTATAAAAACCGAAAAAGGAGGTAAGACTCCCTTGTAAGTCCTCAAAGAAGCTTTGGTATACTCATTGGCCTTGGGATGGGGTAGCCTCCCCTCCCCCTACACATTTTATAATCCAAAGAGGGCATTCTTGAAACTCCAGTTCCAAATGCATATGCAGTATCTTCAAAGACAAGTACTCAGCAAAGTAGAGTTGAATTTTCTAAAAACAAAAAGGCAACAGAGACCATTACAGTTCAAACTCTGTTTTTTATTTTGAGAGAAAACAAACTATAGTAAGAAAGAACCCAAATTACAACAAAAAGTAGCCAAAGTTCAAACTCTCTTTTTCAATTCTATTTTCGCCACAGCTTTCTCAGCAACAAAACAAGGGGTAAAGATTGGAAACGAAGAATACCAGAACAGAGAACTCCGAAAATGAAGCAATTCAGCGCAATATCCAAACCTGGGGTCAAAAATGTAAAGTAAAATTCCATTGTATAAAAAAATATATATATTAAAATATAAAAAAAAGATCACCGATTATTAAGGCAGCAAAGTATTGAATCTGAAACGAAAAACGGTGTCGTCTTAGAGAGGTCGTTGAACTGTGTACAAACGAAAGTGAATTGAACAGGAGATCGGTGGCGGGAAAATAATGGAATAAATATAATTCCAATAAGTTATGTATTTAAAGAGTATAGACGATCGGCTATACTTTTAAAATATATTAATATTTAAAGAGTATAGCCGCGCGGCTCTACTATTTAAATATGAATATATTTTTAAAAGTATATTTTCGGCCACATAAATATCACACGAAACTCATAGATATCACAAAAGTCAATCACGGCTGTGCTGACCACCACTGAACACTGAATGAATGGCTGCTATCTTCCGCCACATTTTACAGACTCCACCACCGCCCTCCTCC